TTACACCATATTTTATTTTGGTAAAACAGTGTCCATCGTCACAAATAAAACATACTACGTTTGAATCAATGGCATTTACTGTTTGGATAACTTATTTGAATGGTTTCAGAGCTACAAGTCACTGTGCACCTTGGCATCGTTTATCTTTAAAGGGGAATTCCACCGATTTTTTAAAATTTCTGCATAATTTAATTGATGAGATATAAAGGCATTCAGAGATTTTTAATGTTCAACGCTCTGTTCTAGAGAAAAATACAGTGGTAATACAGTGGTAATAATAGGAACCAGGAATGTCTACATTCTATGTACTATCCAAAACGTGCATTAAACCTACATGTCTTCTGGGTTTGTATATATAAAATGGTGATAATTTGTGCAAATTTTGAAAAACAATTTAACTACCCTTTAAATAAATAATTAAATTTCATGTAAATTTTCAATCCTTGCTGGTCTCGCAATCACTCTGGCATACTGGCATTACAGATTTTGTAACGCGCATTTTTACTACAGGTTGTACAGGCTGACATGTTGATGATGTTGACTTCAGTTAAGCACAATGGTATCGATATTCTCGATCACCGATACTGATACAGTATCTGTGCAATACTACAACTGATTCTGTAAAATACATTAACATGCACGATGTCCAATTTGAGAGAGGGAAAAAAAAGGACAAGTCAACGAATGAAAAACGGGACAGTGTGTTAGTGAATAATTTCCTTTTTTCCTTTAGTGTGCCATATGAATTTAAGTATATGTTGGCAGTGTGTCCATACAAATGCATCAGGAAGTGTGTGCGCAGTCATTCGGAGGTGTTCCAGACCTGCTGCTCAATACACTGATCCAAAAACAACACGTGGGGAGAAAAAGAAGCCAACAACAACCAGCTCCCCCACCAACTCTGCCTCTACTGTCAGACACACAAAACGACTGTACTATAATCTTAATTGCACTATGCATTAAAAAAACTCCAAAACCATCGGTTAGAGCACACGTGCCAATTTTCCCGAACTAAACATAACTAGGCAAGCGTTTAAAGATCAATCCGATCTAAACTGCAACATGCAACTCAGCATCCTTGCAACACCACACATTTACATGCTGCCAAGACATGGTGTTTAATCACTGTTGCTCAGCAGACTCTACACTCAGTTCAAAAGAGATTCCTCACATGCAACAATCTGCGAATTTTTCTACACCAACATGAGTTTGTGACTTTGGAAATGAGACCAAAAAGTAATTCAGATGTCAACTGTCAAACAATCTGCCGCCTCCACCTTATCAGTACTGTGGCTCAGTGTGCTGTTGACAAATCAAATGAAAGCAGCAGCATCCTTCTCGCTTTAGAAGTTCCCTGCTTTCCATCAACTGATCTTCTCTGTTTACATAGTCCAGCCACTAGCGTTTTTTGATACCGATAAAATCCAAGAGACAAAATATGAAGCGGAGCCCAAGTTTTCGTGCTCCAGGTGAGGGGCGACTAACCTCTGGCTCTCGCGCCGCTGTGACCGTTTACGGCCGGGGCAGCGAGCTCTTTCCGTATCCGCTTGCTCGGAGGTCGTACGCTGGAGCGGAGAAAATGGTGCTGGTCCTGGCCGTGCGGGGGCGAACCAAGGCTTGGGTTCGGCGACGAGGACGAGGAAGAAAGAGAGGGAGTCGAACCGGGTCGGACGGCGGCGGACGGCAGAAGCGTTTCCTCCTCTCCGTCCCTCTTTGTGCTCGGCTGCTCGGCGGCGGCGCTCTCCTCGTCCTCGCCGCCCTCAAGCTTTCTGGCCGCTTTGCTGGCTCCGTCGGCTCCCGAGGCAGCCCCATGGCCCACTGTCATGCTGTCGAGACACAAACAAAGCACATTTTTACGAGCTTTCACACCCAGAAAACCAAAAAACAAAACGCGAGCAACTTAGAAAGGCGACGTTCGTTCACTCCAACTCAACATGGCCGCCGCTGTTTGTTTCAAATCCCCTCACAACGTCCCAACAAAACCGCGTCGAAAAAATATCCCTCTCCACCCTCACGACTTCGACCAAAACTACAATATTTCGACCAAATTCACTTCCCACTCTCCCCCAGCTTTAGCCGAACTCGAGTTGAGAGTTTTTGCTTTGTTTAATCCGACATCGAAGGCGAAACGCTCCCCGCACTTTAGCGCCCAGCACAAACGACAGACGACGACGACGAAAAACGCTCTCGCGCATTCGACCTCTAATGTTTATTTTTTAAAAAGTGGTAGTTTTTGGAGCGACCGTTACCCGTTTTCCAGCTCTTCGGCAGCGGACGCTATCTTCTTTCTCTTCACCATGAGTCTGAAGATTTTGGAGCCCAGCACTCGACCGATTTAAACATATTCAAAGCCCGAGAATGAGAGTCAGCTTAGGCTCGTCCTTCTCCTCCTCGCTGCTGCTACTCGAACTGACTGAGCTGCGGCTCGACCGTTGTTAGCTCGACTCTCAGAGAAACACCAGCAAGCCCAGCTCAAGACCTCGGTGCTTTCAGCGTCCACAGTAAACACGTTCACGATTAAAACAAATTAAACGAGCTACCACGAAGGCTGACCGATCGTCATATTTTGAACTTGCTCCGCGCTTTAAGCGGACGCACAGTCCTTACTCACTCACTCACTCCTGAGTCTGGACTTTGCTGGAACTACGTCATCATAACTTAACTGATGGTGTTTTTGTTTTTACAAATTCACATTTGCTCAGTGACATCAAAGATCACAAATTCATCAAACAATGCATAGAAAAGGTAAAGGAAAGCCCGCGTTTAGTTATCACTGCAATACACAAGAGAGTTTAGTTGATGTTGTGCTACACTCCTTTAGTAAGAGTGGGTGTTCTAGGTCACTTTACACATCCTAAAAGCATAACTGATCCCAGGGCGCTTTGATTACTGTAGCTGTAACAATGGCAATCATCAATCCTGGCCTGGTCCCGAATAAGAATCATCTCTTCTTAATCTGTTTTCAGGACAACATTTGCTAGCAGGTTGGTAGTCTGCGCCAATTAGGGTGTGCCTTTCTCTCTCTCTCCCTCTCTCAGGCTAAGCCCCAAAAAGCACTGGACCCTTTTAGATATATTCATATATGATTAAAGGGAATAAAAGTGTATATATGCAATTATCATGTTCTTTATTACAAGAGCAAGGACATAGCGTGGGGGATCACCGTTTTCGTAACAACGAAGTAACTGCACTGATAATATCTCAGCCTTTGGTGTAAAACAATATTTAATCCGTGTCTTGACATGCTACTGTTTTAGTAGAGTGAGTGCCAGGCTGACCACAGCTGTACACCATAAATATCGACAGCTGCTAAGCTCAGTGACCACAGACAATGTCAATGTTTGAGAGAGCGAGAAGGATCCAGACCGAAGACAGCTCACTGTATTTCTTTCTGTATCTCATTATGCGGTTAAATCACACTACTTTAGAAACATGACAGGTTTGTGGAAATAAGACAGATGGTCAAGAACATTGCGTGAATTTAAGCCAGCTATGTGAAAAACACCATAAAGACCCATTAGGTTCTCATTGCTGGTCTTTGATTACTCGAGACAAATTAGACAAATGATCAACAACGTGCTGTTAAGTGTGACTTCGCTTGCTTCTGAACGCTGGTATGTAATTCCTGTCGTTGGCTAGCTAAAAGCTTTGCTTCCTAAAATAAAACATCCGTATTTTGTTCGAGCACCGGTGAAGTACAACCGTTTCTTTCTATAGCGATAATATAACATGCAACAAGTGCCGTTAAACTGATGTAACTCAAACCAAAACAGAACGGCTGGCTAGCTAGCTTAGCTACGAAGCTAGGCAGCTAACGTTAAAGCGGGCAACCACACTCGGGATAAAAAGCCACCTACGCTTCGGATGTTAACGTGACTACGTCAAAGACGACTACAAAACAGCTCCTGTAAAATATCAGTACTTTACCTTGTGAGGCGTCTAACAGCTTAAGCGAGCTGAACACTCATCCACATTAGACGAAGAGCAGAGCTAACCGTTAGCCGCACTGCTGACACTGTCAAACCTTCCTGTGTTGTTTTCCCTCGTGTTGTGACCACGCCCACTGCCTCTCAAAGCAAGCGCACTGATTGGTCACATTGAACACGTTGCAGGTACGCAACGGACGAGGCGTGGTCGGCCCAATCACATTACAGAATCCCACAGCGAACGGATGATTTGGTCCAATCACAATTCAGATCCGGACAGCAAAGTTATGATTTGGTCCAATAACAATTAAGTGTCTAACAGCGTTTGAGTCGTTTGGTCCAATCACGATCCAGAATCGTGTAACATTCAAGCTCGTTTTCGGTTTACCAGCAAATAATTAAACTATATTTCATGCTGAATATTAAACATTATTTTAACTGGAGAAGGTTTATTTGGCATTTAAATGGGAAACGTTTACTTTTATACTTTTAACAGTATAATATCAGGCACTGCACGTATTAACGTGCAGTGCCTGATATTTACGGATCTGTTGCTTGCAGTGGTCCACCCCCAATTAAGAGAGAAAAAAGGCTATATGTAGAATATAGCTAGGATCAATAGAATCAAGAGGATAATGCTTGAAATATTTATTTATGCATTTAAAATGATTGCAAGGTTAAGGAGCACAAAACGGAACCACTTAAAATAATAAAGAAATATATATATAGTACAAACGTATCAAAGTAAAAATATAAATGAATAAAGGCATTTCCTGAATTTGGATGTATTTCTATAATTTACAAATATAGTTCTTTTTTTATAGTATTTATCATAGCTGTAACTTCCTCCACTTTTTATATTGACAGTGACGAAGTGGGAAAGTTTCTGTTGACCTCTTGAAAGAAACTGTTCAGCCAACCAACAAGCAAAATTTGGGTTGACGAACAATTCATTTTACCCAATAGACTATCATCGGCGTATGATTGATTTAAACATGGCCCAGTCATACATTGGCTTCGGACCACTATTTTGACTTCCAAACACACGTGTCCCGGCCTTTTGGGCGTGGTTATCGCTTCCGAGTGCTTTTTGTGTGGCCAACTTCTGGAGCAGTATTAGCGCGACGGTTTCAGCATTGCGGATTAACGGAAGAGTCGTACCTTGTCTGGAAGAGAGAAACAAGACACGATGACTTCGACAAACATGTTTCAGGGTCTCGACGAAGGAGCGAAACCCAGTTCGAGGTACGAGCCACTCGCTTGTGGTTAAATTTGGAGGAACCTAACAGTTACTACCCCTGTCCTCTTTCGAGAGTCGAAACAGGAACTTGGGAGAATTTAGCCTCTTGTCCGCCAAGTAGCGGGGCAGCGAGAGCTAAAAGCTAACCTAAATTAGCCAGTCGAGAAAGCTTGGTCATGTTAAGCTTTTTGCACCAAAAGGTGTGTTTAGAAAGAACTGAATCGTGTGCATCGTGTCTGAACACAGTGAGGAGTGTGTTTTGAAAAGTAATTCTGTAGTTAAATGAGCTAAGATTGATATCGTGCAGTCTGCGTTCTTTCGCTTAACATTAGTAGCCGGCTAGCTAACTTAAATTGTTAGCGCCAAACAACAAATATACACGGGGGTTACCATAAATATACATTTGAGCAAACGTATAGACGGAGGCTTTACTGGGGTCAAGGCTAATAATCTGAAACATGTCTGTACTCATATGTACCGCATTATATTGTATTTGTGCGCCACACATGCGGAGATCAGTGTTGTGACTCTGGTCTCCCCTGTTATTATTGTCCTAAATGATCACCGTCTTGCACAGAACACCGAGTAGAGACTTTCTGTAACAGGACCGCTTAAATGCTTTTGAAATGCTGTCGCCCAAACTTTGTTTTTTGACTAGTGAAAGATAGCTTGTGGCGGACTGCCCAGCCCTGCCGCCTTTCTCTGAACTCCACAGTGAGACCTCTCAGCTGGGGGGCGCTGTTACTGCCTTCTACCGTGAGGCTTTTCTGCCCTTAGGCGTTTTACAGAATCTGTGAAATGTCCATGCAGTTGGTGAAATGAAATCTGAAGAAGCTATTTTTAACTATTAATGAGTGGCCGTGTAGATACATTTATCGGGGTCTAGCCGCTGTACTGGCTTTGTTGTTGTCCCTGAGGGTTAATGTACACTGTCCAAAAGAATCCAGACACCTCTTCTGCTTAATAAATTCAGGGTGCACTCACTGGTATACAAGGTATTTAGTCGCACTTACACAGCTTGTATAATCTCAATAGAAAAGCATTTCTGATAAATTGGTGTGCTCTGGAGCAGCTGCACACGAGACAGCATTGGTCAGAAGAGTATAAAGCACCCTGGCATTAGGCTATGGAGCAGTGGACCTACTTTCTGTGATGGAGCTCCATTCAGTATCTTTGAAATGAGATGAAGTGGCGATTGTAATCAAAGTAATAATCCCACATCAGTACCTGACCTCACTGGGGCTCATCTGGCTGAATGCTATTAAATCCTCACATCAATGTTAGATAAGATTATCCTTTATTAGTCCCACAACGGGGAAATGCTCAACACCTAAAGCAAAGCCTTCCTTGAATTTGGAAGCGGCCTTTAATGGTGTCTACAAACTGCTTTTGGGCACACAGAACAGATCATGTTGATTTGGGTTATAACAAATGTGTTCACAGGGTTTTGCGACCTCCTGGCGGTGGCAGCAGTAACATATTTGGTGGTTGTGATGAGGACTCTAGTGCTTCCAGACGACCAAACAAGATGGCCTCCACGGTATTTGCACCTCCAGAAGAGCCTCAAGGAGGTCCCAAACGCTCTAATCCCCCAGGTAAGAATGTGTGTAAGTTTACAGCAGACAGAAAGCTCCCTTTCTGGTAGTATATTGGGGCGGTTTTCAACCATCTGGTTTAAAATTGTCACCACACTGTAATCGGGTTTGTGAGGAGAGGAGGGCATATTCGCTCACTCAGGCTCACATGCTTTTCCTTTCTCTCTCACTCTTGTCTGACGTGTTCTACTATTCCAGTAGCAAAAGGCTTGAATTGCGTTACTGCAGTAAACACTGCTGGTCACAGCCAGATTGGCTGGTCCTGGTCCCTCCGTGTTGGATAGAAACCTGTTGGTAGGCAGTCTCAATGGTCTGTGTGATGAAATCAAATTGTCAATTGGAGTCAAAGGTTACAAGGGAGACTGTGAGGAGTTTCTTTAGGGAAAGCCGCAGTACACTGTCACAGCACTTTGGGTAGGCTGTTCATCTAGCTAATTGGCTAAAATATTGATCAAAAGTTGCCTGTGTTGTTTACATCAGTCTTGTGACCTAAGTGATAACGAACTTGGTGATATGATGTGGCAGGTCATCACTTTAGTTATTCGCTTTAAGTGGTCCTCTTCTAAGCACTGGGGCTCTCATCTCTGATTGGTTCTCGGTCTGTGGCATGTTCTAGAAGCGTCCCTGCTGCTGTTAGTATGTACCCTTAGGGATGGGGGCGTGGAATGAGTGCAAACAAATCTTGCTGACAGATCCAAAGAGCCTGTGTGTGATCAGTTATTGGACAGTAACGATTATATAATATAATCATAAATCATATAATAATCATATAATCTTAAATGAACACATCTGTTATGTTTAACAACAAATCCAAAACCTATCTATATCGAAGCAGTGATATTTTATAAATACAGTTTAGAAACCTTACAATGCAGAAATCTATCTATGCACTTGTTCTCTGAGAAGTCTGAAATGTACTGATCTGTCTCCTTCTCACAAAGGTGGCAAGAGTAGCGGAATCTTTGGAGAGCCTGAGGCTCCATCCTCTCAGGCTAAGCCTGTCCCTCCAGGTGGAGTGAGTAACATCTTTGGTGGGCCAGAGTCAAACCCATCTGTTGTTAAAAGTCATCCAAACAAACCAAAGGTTAGTCACTGTTGAATATAGAAACTCATTGTTGAAAATGTAAATTCACTGTTGAAAATGGAAACAAAGGTTTTTGTGGAAGGTTGGTCATTGGAAAGATAACTACTTGTTTATAACACTTGAGTTCATGTCTGGATTTGTTGAAAGCAAAACCAGTGTCAAGTAATTACTGAAGACCTTGGCTAGTGTAATGAGAGTGAATAGTAAGGTTTTTGCTTTTACTTGATATCTGACAAGGCCTCCTTTTTTTAATACAGGACAACATAGGTTTGGGTGCAGCCGTTGTACCTGATCCACCAGGTAAGGGTAATTCAGAAAATAACACAGAAGTCTGAAGTATCAGTCCCCTTTATTAACCAGTTTTTAATTACTTAATTACTTACATGGGGTTTTCAAGCTTTTCAGCCTGGGATCCCTTCCAGTGTTTTAAATAATTATATATAGAGTTTCATGACAGAGAGCATAATTAGTCATGTTTACTTGGATTTAGCCTAGCACAAATTGTAAAAAGTCACATACAGATTATTGTACTAATAGTTAAATGTGAAACTAACAGGGCTTTTTTCTGATCCACCATATCAAGCCTCAGAAAAACTAAATATTGTCTTGATTGTGATGATTGTGATATACTTTTGCCATATCACATACCCCTAGTTCAGAATGATGAGTGTGTTCAAAGTATATTGGATTTTGTCACAATAAAATTTATAGACTCTTCACGTCATGTCATTTTAAAAATAATAAATAAAATCTGGGCCCCCTGGCTGTACATCTTGGTCCCTACTTTGAGGACCATGGATTTAACTTACTTGCTGAAACTTCATGAGAGGGTGTCAGGCTGTGGTATTAAGGTTAAAAGGATATTAATCACTGTTTGTCAAAGCTTTTTTTTATAATTTTTTTTTTTAAAGCAAAACAATAATAATCTCTTAAATCTCTCTCAGCACCTCAGCAAAAAGTGATTGAAGAAGTTAAAGTTAAGGCAGCGCCTGTCACTCCTGAGGCCACGCCCACAAAGGAGGAACCTGCTGCTGCTCCTGCACCTATAGCCACAGCCACTCCGGATGCTGAGTCTTCAGCCAGCCAGCCATCGGAGAAGGACCATGAGCCACGCCTCGGACCTCGCCCTCGCTCACACAACAGAGTGCTCAATCCTCCTGGTGGAAAATCCAGTGTGGTCTTCTACTAACCAGTGCCATTTTTTTCTCACTGTTCCTCTCACTCCAGTCTCTTTTACTAACACTGCTACCTTATATCTTTCCTTTATGCTACTGCTTTCAGTATGTCCAGCTTTGTTTTTGTTTGTTTTTTTTTTAATGCTTCCTCATTGTGAGCTCACTCGCTTGCTTGCTCACTCTCTCTGTCTTTCTTCCTTCCTCATTCCTTAATTCTTGCACTTTCTAACTCATTCCTAAACACTCTTTCTGCTTTTATATATAACGGTTTGAGCGACTGTTGATTTTGTTGCTTCCTCAATCAATCAAATAGTTCATGTTGCTTCAGTCAGCCTTGCGAGTTGTTTGTGTTTTATGTGAATATGCTCTCTGAATTTGATAATGTATAGAATACAATCCTGTCATGATGAAACTGTATGACGTCTATGTAATGTTTTAACTGGAACCACTGTCTATCGCTATGGCAACCGCACTCGTTCTAATGCAGTGGTACCCAAGCCCTGTCTCATCAATGATCTGCATGGTTTTCAATGCTCTTGCACACCTGATTAAACTCAAGAAGGGCTTAGTAATAAGATAACGAGCTGGGGCTGGGAGGTATTTCACAAAGTAGCTGGAGAACTTGAGCCAAAATTTGACACTCTCCAATAAGACAAGAGGTAAGGAACAGTCTTATTGGGCAGTCTTTTCTTATTTCTTGAATTATCCCACCCTTGGAAAAATCCTGTCTTGTGAAATAGCCACCAAGTGTGTCTGAGCATAAATAAATGCAAAACTAGCAGTAGGTCCTTTGGACTGGGTCTGGAACTGTTTGTTCTAACATACCTCTGAAACTTGGTTAGCGTTCTTTTTGGCTCACAGCCATGCTGAAAACAGCACTATGATATTGTGTCTTGTTCCCTTTTTTCTGCCTTTCTATTTAGTGATTGTAACGCCACTGGGTTCTCAGGGAGAATAGGGATGGAGGACCTGGTTGGGAGAGCTAGTGACAATGTCTCTTTTGTATGTAAGACTATGCTTAAGAACATGCACTGTTTAGGGAGGTGCTGAAGCAATACTGAAACAAATGCACTCCCATATAAACAGGCAACACCAAAGCACACATGTACATCATCAAATTATAATAAATGTGACAAGGTCAATTAAAACCATGCTAACACTGCATACTGTATTTGTAAGGGAATTCTCCAGCAGTTTTCAAACTAATCTCTTAACTGCTACAGCTATGGCATATGGTGTGTTGCTTCAGACAGAAATTTTGACACATTTTGTCTGTACTTGGTGAAAGAACAGAAAATCTCGACTTAAAATTGACTTAGAATAAAAACCACTGCACAATTGCCAAAAAACTTCCTGTTGGCTTCTTTATATGTGCATTTTAAGTCAACAGGTTTTCTGTCCTTTTCTGAATATTGGGAGAATGTCTGTGGTATTCGATTGTATGTAACAGATAAGGCAGGCAGAGATTAGGTTGAGTATGCTACAGAGTATTCCTTTAACAAAGTGCACCTTATCACTCTCTTTGTGCTGTTTTGGTTAAATTGAGGAATTTTTGCCAGGGATGCCTGACCCTAGCCTGGAGGTCCACAGTCCATGATCACACACCATTCTACTTACCCACCAAACCTGGTAATGAACTGAATGAGTTGATCAGTTGAGTTTGAACAAGAAAATCATTGACTGTGCTGGACTCTAAGCCTCCAGGACTGGAACTGGACATTCCTGCCTTAGGACATCAAAAAATACTCTGTGAAGAAAAAAATACATACAAATGTGTAGATGCTCTGGAACGTCCTCTTTTGTACTGAATGCCAAAGTTTGAGTTAGTTTTCAGTTATTGTACAAATCACTATTTCTGCCTTCAGCGAAACCTGTCTATTTTAAAGTGAAAACAGCAGTGGGGAGGTCTCGAGTGCCACACGTTTGTGTGAAAATGGTTTTCTCACATGTTGCTGCCAGCCCTGCCCAAAGTGGCAGCGTGGTTTTGAGGTAATGTCAGACAGACATCTGTATTACAATAAACTTTTATTTTGATGATTTATATGCTATGGTGTCACTTCATTTTATTTACATGGTTATGAATGTTTGTCGTTTCAGCCTGTCTTACTACACTGATCGCAATATGAATAACAAGTACTTTGATGAAATTGCCAGGTTGTGTTCCTTCTGACTTGTCAGTCAAGTGAAAACAATGTCTAGGTAATGTTCTCATTTGCTTTCTACAGTGATCCAGGCAATGTACATTTGTCAAAGTAAGTGGGAGTGAGTGAAACCACCAAAAAAAACCTAGTTTGTTTGTAACATACCAATTAATGCTATAGATGTTTTAATGTATACTACATACTGAAAAATAAGCATAATACATAATACTGCCTAATACAGGTGCATATTATGTGCTTTGTAGTAAGCAATAGCATATGCCAAGTCAATTTAACTCTCATATCAGTACAGCATAAGAAAAGCTTCTTTGTTAAGTACAGAAACATGCTACTTGCTAATAATGTGTACTGCACTCTAGATGCATACTATGTAATATGCATTAATGCATACTACATTCTCTAGGTGCATATTACATACTGAATACAATTACAAGCTAGATGCTGCATTCTATAAATGCCTTGTAGTATGTAGTATGCATTCATAAAATGTAGTATAAATGATGTAGTATTATACATAATATACTTCTGTAGATGCATACTATGTAGTAATATATAATTCATATTACATTGCATAAATGCCTTTCTATGTAGTATACATTCACAGAATGTAGTATGAATTATGTAGTATTATATAGTATGCATCTACAGCAGCATGTCACACACTGTAATAATGCACATTTTACAGATACATAATCTAGATACATTCTAAATATAAATGCATACTACAGATGCATACTATGTTGTATAAACAATACATAATATATTCTATAAATGCATTACTATATAAAGGTATTTATAGAATGTAGTATATATTATGTAGTATTCTAATGTATAATTGCACTCAAATAATAGGCTGTCAATATACCATGGCATTAACATCCCCCAAATACATACATACATACACCAGTTACGAAACCAAAACTTATCCAGTCATTCCAAGCCATTACATAGGTGGTCTAGTTTGTGTAGACAGATATAACATGTCCCTTGGTAAATGTGATGTCTAACTTTAGCTAATTAATCACCGAACTTTTTAACACATTAAAGAGAGTGGGAGAAACACAAAAGTGCACAGGGCAGGGGGACTCCAGGACCTGGATTGGGAAACACTGGTCTTATCTAATAGCTTTGGCCTTGGTAAGAAAGTTTTTAGCTTCAGAATGGTCCTAAAACAGACTGGACCCTTAAAAATAATTTCCTGCAATAGGACAGTGTGAGGACAGCATGAAGTAAACCACAAAATCAACATGATACTGAAAGGGAATTCTACTGATTTTTAAAAATGTGTGCATAATTAAATCAACAAGACACTCACTCATTCAGAGTGTCTTGATATGAAATGCTTTGTTCAGAAATCAGAAATGTTTTCAGTGGTATTGATAGGAACAGATGTCCAAAGCATTTAATAACACTGAAAGCTACATCATACACAGCTATTACATGAAATGGAAGGTTATGAATATGCCTAATGCTTGACGTTCATTCAATACATATCAACGTTCATTTTATATATATATATATATATATATATATATATATATATATATATATATATATATATCAATGTTCATTCCATATATATCATTGTTCATTCAATATATATCAGTGTTTATTCAACATATCAGTTCATTGTATATTCGTACATATATATTACTCTCTGTACCCCCTGCCCTGTTGTGGGAGGAACGATGCGGTGACGTAATCGCACGAGCCTGCTCGCTGCAGACGTTGCGGCGTCATCCTCCGAGCGGTCAGATGACTCCGCCCCTCCATGCAGCGGTATTTGTTTTTTTCCCCACCCGCATTCCGGCAAACCTCGCCTCCACTTCTGTGATTGGCTAGTAATTCATACTCACAAGAACCCCGTAGTAGAAAATAAACTACTAGCCAACCGAAGCTAACGCAGAAGACTTGCGAGCATGAATCACTAGCCGGTCCTACACTGGAAAAAATGTAGTTGATATGACTCAAATGTTAAACACAATGTTATATTAACATAATTTCTGTCTTTTAGTTTTTCTGTTTTGGTGGAAAAAAGTGTCGATGTAACACACCTTAACGTTTTTTAAAAGCCAATCCTGACGCAGGAGGCGGGGTTTGTCCGATTACAGGTGGGAAAGAAAAGAGCGACTCCCTACAGCCTGCGAGCGAAATTCCCAACCCAGCCGAGCGGACGACGGCAGCAGCCGCCCCCCCAAACCTACATCCACCGGACCGACCCTAAATGTCCAGAATACAAAATCTGCCAAAATGCTTTAAGCTAAACGATTACGACAGGACATGGAGCGGTGATGGGGGTAGCTAGTCCGGCCTAATCCACTGTATGTAAGCTATTTATTCGTATATTATTTATTTATTTTCCTTTTTTTTATCCTCCATTGATTTTTTTCTTTGGCTCAGCAATGGCTGGGCTCCGGGCTGCGGCTGTGCAGAAGCAGGTGCATCGCTGGCGGTGATGTGATGGATGCCGCCCGCGCACTGAGGACGGGAGCGCCGGTAACGAGTCCAGCTCTGCCCGGTACGGGTCTAATCGAGTCTTAGCGGGGGGTGGAGGGGAGAGACTGCGATAGCGAGGCCGCAGCCGTGGCGCAGGGAGTGGGGGGAAAGGAGAAGCTAGCTTAGCTCGGCTCCTCTCACGGACTGTGTGACAACGAAAAAAACAGCCGAGCCTACTTTGCGAAAAAACGACTCAAGGCTCTCGCGGCTTTCGGACACCTACGGAGAGATGTGGGGACACGTCCACCTGAGGGCATCCCTCTAAAATCCACCCAGTTACCGAAAAAGTCCCCATTTTGGATGAGTCAGAGAACCGCTAGCTAGCTTTCTGAGGCGTCTCGCGCCTCCATTACCCGGTACCCAAACCGTACAGTTCACGCGCTCAAGGAAGGAGTTTTTAAGTGTATAAAACCTCAACCAGTCGAGATGATGGAGCTCCAGCTGGACGAGGTCGTCTACCAGGACGACTACGGCTCTGTGTCCGTGATGTCCGAGCGCGTCTCGGGCCTGGCCAACAGCATCTACCGAGAGTTCGAGCGCCTCATCCGGACCTACGACGAGGAGGTGGTGAAGGAGCTGATGCCGCTGGTGGTGAACGTCCTGGAGAACCTGGACGCCGTGCTCACGGAGAACCAGGAGCACGAAGTGGAGCTCGAGCTGCTGAAGGAGGACAACGAGCAGCTCATCACGCAGTACGAGCGCGAGAAGGCGCTGCGCAAGCAGGCCGAGGAGGTGAGCGAGTGTGGCTTATCAAAGATAAACAAGATTATCTGTAAGACACAGTTAATTTTATGACCTTAGTGGCCATATCAGGCCTGAAGTGTTATCAGCAACTTCATGACATTAGAACAAACTTATAAGCTGACATGAAGTATTGTCAACAACTGCATTATGTTGGAAAGAATTCCTGGACAGTTGTCAATACATTTATGCCCTTAGTAACCATTTATAACACTGTTATAAACATTAGTTCCACAATTTCTGGTAGTGTACGTTTACACACACATATAGATACACATGGTCACATTCACAGGTGATTGCTTTTTTATTTAAAAAAAATTATTGTTTTAAAATATATATTTTTATTTTTTATTATTATTATTAAAACCAATTTCTGTTTGCCACTATTCACACATACACATGGCAACATTCACAGGGGCTTTAAGGTGGTTCCTTTTTTAATGGAGCAGAGAAACTTTATAACATGAATACCAGTGTGTGGGCTGTTATTAAATGTCATAAGCCTCATTAGTGCAATGTATGTATGCTCTGTTTCATGCATACATCTGGGTATATTCAGTCTTGTTTTGAGGAACTTGCTTGTTGCTAGTAGGTCTTAGTGAACAGGTTTGATCCTGATCTGTTTTTTATTAATTACAGATCATAGTCCTGTTTAAGTCACTTTAATGTTTCCATCTACTGTGGAGTGCCACATTTGGCTGAGGTCAAGCTAATACCTAAAGGGTGAATCTGCTTGGTTGTTTTCTGCCACACCTAGAGGGGCAAGTACTTTTATTGTTTTTCCTCAGTTATTTGATGAAGTACGTAAATCTGTCATATTCATTCTTAGACTGCCTCTCTTCCACTTTGACACTCTCCGCTCCACTCCTCGCTTCATCACTGTCCACATCTGGCACTAAAACAGACACTGCTGTACTGAACCACCAGTGGCTAGAATCAGATTCCCTTAAAACCCCTCAGCTAAAGCCTCTGCAGTATCAACACGACAGGCTGGCTCTGACAGAACCCCCTCCAAATGCTGCCACTGCGTCATCAGCACAGTGGATCAGCATCAATAAGAAGGAAATTTGGAAAAGTCATAGTAAACGCCATAAGGGGCAGTGATGAAACAGCATAGTTTAGAGATATTATATGAAACTTAACATAGTATAACAGTGTGACTGTGTGATTTTGAAGGCCACCATTGTCCTCTGTAGCTAGAGGAGAAGAAAAGCATGGGATGCAGAGAGTTGGATGAAGAGAGGGCGAGCCTGCTGTCAATTTCAGTGCAAATCCATTTAAAAATGGGTTTGTGGTACTATAAAGTGACAGGGTATATGTTTAGTTTGACATGTCCACCAAACATGTTCTCTTAATGTCACCTCTTTAAAGAGGACTAATATAATTTTTAGTTATTTAAAATCTCTGTATTTTTCTTAGTCACCTAGAATTGATATTTACGGCCAATTTAACATTAACATGTTGAAAAGCCTTGCTAACGCACAATTATAACTGAAAGTATACCATGTTTTCTTTAGTGAACAAAAGGAAAACAATGAGAAAACCATAAATTAATGGATTCTTAGAAGTAGTAATGAAGAAAATATAACACTACTAATGTGGTCTTTTTATTGGTAGTAAAGAGTGTATAGCAGTGTAATAAAGAAATCTAACAGTATTCATGAATTTTATTTGTGATAATAAACCATATAACAACAATGTCAATGGCTTCTTAATAATAATAATAATAATAATATCAACAAAAATAATAATAATTTCAGTGTCCATGCAAGTTAATAAACGGATAGTCAGTTAACCAAGGAGAAGGGAAAAACAACAGCAAAAAAAGTTAAAAATAGGAATGTAGGCAATTTCGGCCAAAATTAACGTAGGGCTGTAGTCCTACCTCTTTAGATGATAGCACCAGTGTTGCACATATATTTGTTTTATTATTCCAGAATAGCCACAGGAAAATAAATATTTCTCTGTAATAGTAATCCAGGTGGACGTACTCTACATTTTATATATGTTCATATATAGGTATCAGCATCAACAGATATGTACATGAAAAATATTGGACATCAGCATCTGCTCACAATTAATGGTTTCTTAATAATAATAATAATGGTAGTTCTCTTGTGCTGCTTAACATGCACAATAAACCGTAATTAATGGCCAGTGAACTTGACTACTCTCTCAAACCTTCTCTTTTTAATGTTAATGTGAAATTGTGCATCTGAAACTTGACCTTTTAAAAGTATTTGCTTAGCATATAGTAACAAAGATTGCATTTGCACTCTCTTGGTAATGGGATTGATTGATTTTCACCAATTATGGAAAAGTGAAGCTACACTGTCAAGATTTACTGTATAAACTATTCATCCTCAGGCTGCCTCATTCTCAGCAGCCTCTTGGAAACAAACATCTTTAGCAAAATTCAAGTTACTTCTAGGGTTGTACACATTTTAAATTATAGTGTACAATATTTGTGTATATATATATATATATATATATATATATATACACACACACACACACATATATATATATATGTATAACGTAGACCTGATGTCCCTCAACTGTTTTTAGCGCCTGCAGCAGAACCTGGACTGCTGGGTCATTCTGAAGACGGGGTTGTTTTTTGCTGTAGCAGCAGTAAGAGCAAGTCTACGATGACAGGTGTTTTGGCTCTAAAGTGCAGAGAATGCGCAGTCTGGAGTGCAGCATAGATTTGGCTGCAGATTGCAGAGAGAACAGGCTGTAATAGATGAATAATTGTTCTGACGAACAGTGGGTTCACTGTAGAATAGACGGAGGAGAGCAATGTTGGAAGCTTGTTCTGCCTCCTTCTTTCAAAGTCAGCAGATAAGTGAAAATATTTGCTTTATCATAGAGCACATTGGTTTCTAGCAAAACAGAGTGCATAATAGTTTATATACTGTGGACATGCACAATTTCCAGTCCACTTTGTGGCTGTGTATGGTAACTATTTGTATGCATTTGTTTACTCTTTGTATTCTCTGTTGTCCATTTATGTAAGCATTGGTTTCATCATAACAAATTCCTCGTACACATAAGGGATGGCACGATACAAAAATGTCCTATCATGATATCCATAACCAAAATGATTACAGTTTTCAGTATTACCACCGTATTGTTGAAATGTACTAAAAATGTTTACAAAGCAATAATACACACAATTACAGAATTATACTGATAGCCTTTAATTGAACCTGTATGTAATATATGATTTTTAAATACTAAAAAAATTTAACTGCAGTTTAAAAAAATCTAAAATTATCATCAGCACTACTATTGTTTACTGTTCAGAGTATAACAATGTAAACAGGGATTGTCCTGGTGCGTGCTTTGCTGAAAGACTGTGGCAGTTATGCTGTTTTTACATTATGACAGTAGATGGACAACAGCAAACCGGATATTCCACTGTTTTCAGTTGAGCAGCGTCAGAAAATAATGCCACAGTCAGCATCAACAGCAGCATACTGCAGCAGTCAGTGGGAAATTCCGTCAAGACTTTACATTTTTGGATTGAATTGGTGGTGGAATAAATCAGTTATTGTTTTTTTTGGGAGACATGGATGCTGAATGTGTCATTGTTGAAGTGCTGATGCTGAGTGTCTCATTGTTGAAGTCCACCCAGTATTATAACAAAAAAAAATATTATTTATAACAAATAATTAAAAGAAAATTAAAAGCTTCCTCCTGCCTTTTCTCCACCTCAAAAAAAACAACCATTGCTGCTAAACTCTCTACTAATCAGCTATTTTAGATGACAAAGTTTACATGGCTCCATACTGTTGTCGGTTGCAAACTGCTACAATGCATGGCAGAATGTTTTTTTATGGCAGTGTGTAGACACAGCATTAAAGACGCACCGATGCCAGTGCAGATTTCTGTTATTTTCCAAGTAAATATCTTCTGGTGCTTATACATAAACATTTATAAAAGGTACAGATTTGTTAACCTAAATTAGCATTATGGAGAAATGTAACATTTATTTGTATAGGGTTAAAAGTGCCATTACAATAAACGAATTGCAGATGTTTTACAGCCGTAGCCCGCAGTAGCGTCACCTAAACTTTCTACCTTTCTGACAATAAATACATAAAATGTCACATATCAGTTAATATACCTGTAGAATAATTTTTTTAAGTTAATATCTACTTATGCAGTTATGATTCCAATATCATGCATCTGTTAGCAATAGGCTATTTACTCTTATATAAAGATGCTAACTGTATACAGTTATCAGAATGAGAAACATTTAAAAGGGAATGGCTGTTACTGAGCTATATACTGCTGTTATCATTAAAATCAGTCATGATTAGAGTAGCTGTTGTTTACTATATGCTTTACTACACTCATTTTGGGGTCATGTTTTTGGGCGTAGAGGACAGCACTGGGAGGAGGATGGATTGGAAGGGTGATTATGGGGAATCAATAATGTGCAGTGGGGATGCTGGAGGCTGGCGTGTAACCTGATTCTCTTATTATGACGGCGAGATGGGGCAGGGAGGGGGATGAAGAGAGAAGATGAGAGAGACAGGGAAGGAAGAAGGGAGAGAGAGGAGCGGACGGTTAGAGAGTAAACAGCGCTCTCCAATTTCCTCTCCTGAGAGAATATGACTGTAGACCATAATGGACACAATAAGGACCGACACCTCTTACTTTATATCCCAGTATTCTTCTGTCTTAGAAGCAGCCGTGCATACACAACAAATAAATGCATTGTGTAAGTTATTTAATATTAGCCTCGTCAATTCACTACATTTTTATCATTCTTCCTAATATATTTACAGGTGCTTTAGTAGTAACTATCTAATAGGCATTTGTACCACCTGGTTAAAAAATCATCATTCATTTTTTTTATTTATTGCATGCAAACCATAGCAAAAGACTACCATTCCCGCATGTGAACATCACAGAAGTTTTAAGCATCCATAAGATTAATATCACATTTACAGTATTGTACCTAGATATGCAGAATCTGT